AAGTTGTCAAATTTATGTGTATGACTGACTTGTCGGGTGTTCGAGTTGCGAGCTCCAAGGATGGGAAATGGAGAACCATGCATCTGTTCGCAATGCTGGTCATAGCTATGCTGTTCTGTATCTTCGAATCGAATATATCAAAAAGCCCTGACTTCCGTTTCATTACATGTTCTTGGTTCGCCTCGTGGTGTATAAATACTTCCATTGTCGGATTTGTGCAGACCTGGCTCACCCATCTTCTATATTCTTCATCTAACAAAAGTGTTGCCGAACCTCAGGATGGAGGTTCGGAGTGTTCTCATCAAAAGGTCAGGGCCAAGGTCGTGATGGTGTCTGCGTCTCCAGCAATCTCGCAGACAGTCTAGGATGAGATCGTGCTACCGGTCGCAATCTTTGTGAAAGCTCCATGTATTTGATGCTAAAATTCTTTTCGAATTCTCAAATGCGAGGAGCTGGCAGTCATGGTTTCGCCGACTGCGCGTTCGTTTTGGAGCGCCAGGAAAGCACATATATTGTGCTGGCATGTCACCGGTACCTTGACTGTGGCGCTGCGCACCCAGCGAGCATGCTTGCTGCATGTGCGAGCGCAGGTCTCGGGCAATTGTGGCAAAGATATAAGGGTGTGGTAGGCCGGCGGTGTGGTGCGGATGCACTTGGTCCGGCAGTGACAACATTTGCCGATAGGTTCTAGGCGCAGGCGTGAAGGTCTAGATCCTGTGCGAGGACGAACACGACGAATGGGTAGGAGCCTGTTGTGAGATACTTACTGCTTTGTGTGTTGCTTCAGGGTCCTTCATATGTTAATGGCGCCTGCCGTGTACGCTATTCCGATGATGCAGGGCACTCTAGATCGAATGGTAAGTATGAGGCTGCAGGTACGGCTTATCTGCGAGCTAAGTCGCCGCCATTCGACAACGAAATGCGTGCGCATTCTAAGAAGTCGGCGTCTGGATGGCCGCTATGATGTCTCACGATGCAAGTTGGTCGCTGGAAGGAACGACCGCGGTCGCGTGTGGTGATGAGTAAAAGCATGCATCGTGGTGGTCTGCGACAGGGAGAGTGCATTGACCGCCACGTGCGCTAACGATGCTAGGAGGGAAAGCCGCGATTCTGATCCACACAAAATTAACTACTGCCCCTCCATCATCACGTCCCGCACAAGCTGCACAAGCCCGACGAGGCGCAAAATCGAGGGAAAAAGCACGCGTGCCTTTATCCTGACACCGTCCCTCCCGCCAATTCTTACCCCAACGCGCTGCTTGCGGGTGCAAAGACAGCAGGAACCTCGCCCGAACCCCCACTGCCCTTTCTCACCGCACCCACCCGCCGTCTTGCTTAGGCCATCTCCCAGCCTTCCGCAGACGCTGCCGCACATTCGCAACCATGGACGTTGCCGGCCTGCGGGACCGGATCCAGGCGACGCTTGACGCCAACGCCGCCATCAGACAGACAGCCGAGCTCGATCTCAAGCATGTGCGTGTTGAAGGCCGGAATGCTGCCTGCCAGACGGAAAACTGATAGACATATAGGCCGAAGAAAAGCCAGGCTTCGTCGATGGCCTGCTGAACGTCCTCGAGCAGGAACAGAACAACGCCGTGCGCCTGTCGAGTAAGGATGCGCCTGCTGTTGCCCCATAGGCCCTGGTTACTAACTTGCACCCACAGCCGTCGTCTACCTCAAGAACCGCGTCTCCAAGGGCTGGTCGCCTGCCGAGGAATACAGCCAGGCCATTCCCATACCAGAGGAGGAGAAGGCCGCTTTCCGCAGTCGCCTAGTCCCCGTCCTCGTCGCCTCCCCGCCACAAGTGCGCATACAGCTCATTCCTACCCTCCAAAAGATACTCGCATACGATTTCCCCGCCAAATGGCCCGACTTCCTCGACATCACAGTCCAACTTCTGAACGCGGGAAACATCGAATCAGTCTTTGCCGGTGTCCAGTGCCTGCTGGCGATATGCAAGATCTACAGATTCAAGTCGGGCGAGAACCGGGCGGACTTCGACAAGATCGTCGCCATGACATTCCCCCAGCTGCTCAACATCGGTAACTCGCTAGCTGGTGAGACGAGTCTAGAGGCTGGAGAGATATTACGGACGGTGCTCAAGGTGTACAAGCATGCCATCTACGTACGATCCCACAAACACAACATGTGGTCGGCAGCTAATAAGATCGCAGTTCGACCTCCCCGCATCCCTCCGCGAGCAGCAAGTCATGGTTGGCTGGTGTACACTCTTCTTGACCGTCGTCGGCAAGGAACCCCCGGAGACGTCCCTCCCCGAAGACCTCGACGATCGGGAAATAAACCACTGGTGGAAGGCGAAGAAGTGGTCGTACGCGAACTTGAACAGACTGTTCGTCAGGTACGCGATACGATGCTGCACGCTTCACGCGGGCTCGGCTAACAGGGAACAGGTACGGCAACCCGTCCGCGCTGGGCAAGAACAACGAGATCGACTACACCGAAGTCGCCAAGACCTTCATCACGAACTTCGCTCCCGAGATCCTCAAGGTCTACCTCCAGCAGGTCGAAAAGTGGGTCGGAAAGCAAGTCTGGCTGTCAAAGGCCAGCTTGTACTACACGCTCAACTTCCTCGACGAATGCGTCAAGCCCAAGTCCATGTGGACTCTCCTTAAGCCACACACCGACAACCTCATCGCGCATCTCATCTTCCCAGTATTGTGTCAGTCGGACGAGGACATTGAGCTCTTCGAGGAAGAGCCACAAGAATACTTGCACCGCAAGCTGAACTTCTACGAGGACGTAACCGCACCCGATGTCGCCGCGACAAACTTCCTAGTTACCCTCACGAAGAGCCGTCGTAAGCAGACGTTTACCGTGTTGAACTTTGTCAACGAGGTGGTCAACAAGTACGAGGCCGCCCCCGATAACGAGAAGAACCCGCGAGAGAAGGAGGGTGCTCTGCGCATGATTGGTACACTGTCAGGCGTCATACTAGGAAAGAAGAGTCCGATCGCAGACCAGGTCGAATACTTCTTCGTCCGCCATGTGTTCCCCGAATTCCGCAGCCCCCACGGTTTCCTCCGCGCACGCGCATGCGACACGCTCGAGAAGTTCGAACAGCTCGATTTCAAGGACCCGAACAACCTCATCATCATCTACCGCAACATTCTCGAATCCATGGCCGACCCTACGCTCCCAGTCCGTGTCGCCGCTGCTCTGTCACTGCAGCCTCTCATCCGCCACGACGTCATTCGCACCAACATGAAGCAAAACATCCCTCAGGTCATGCAACAACTCCTGAAGCTCGCCAACGAAGTCGATGTCGATGCGCTCGCAAACGTGATGGAGGATTTCGTCGAGGTCTTCGCCCCAGAACTTACACCCTTCGCTGTAGCACTCAGCGAACAGTTGCGCGACACCTACCTGCGTATTGTGCGGGAGTTGGTATCAAGAAACCAAGAGAAGGGCGAAGACAGCGAGTACGGCGACTTCCTTGACGAGAAGAGCATCACCGCGCTTGGTGTACTGCAGACGATTGGAACGCTTATCCTTACGCTTGAGAGCACTCCCGACGTCCTCCTGCATCTGGAGACCATTCTTATGCCTGTCATCACCATCACGCTCGAGAACAAACTTTATGGTACTGGACCCCAAAACTCAGCCCTTCATTTCATGTACTAATCCAATCACAGATCTATACAACGAAGTCTTCGAAATCATCGACAGCTGTACCTTCGCCGCCAAGAGCATCTCTGGCACCATGTGGCAAGCGTTTGAGCTGATCCATAGGACATTCAAGGCTGGTGCCGAGCTATATCTCGAAGGTATGCGCGTTCTTCTCTGCTAACCGCGGTGATTTGCTAACCATACATAGACATGCTTCCCGCGCTCGAGAACTTCGTTAACTACGGTACCCCGACTTTGATCCAAAACCGGCAATACCTCGATGCCATCGTCGACATGGTCAGAACGATCTTCAAGGACGACAAGGTTGGCGGCGTTGACCGCATCTGTGGCTGCAAGCTGGCTGAGATCATCATGCTCAACATGCGTGGCCACGTTGATGACTACGTCCCAGAGTTCATTGGACTCACCATGCACGTCCTCATGAACGATGAACCTAAAGTTAAGTCCTTGAGGATACATCTCATGGAAGTGGTCATCAACTCCATCTACTACAACCCCGCCCTGGCGTTGCACGTACTGGAGACAAACGGTTGGACGAACAAGTTCTTCAGTCTCTGGTTCTCTAGCATCGACAACTTCACCCGAGTTCACGACAAGAAGCTGTGCATTTCTGCAATCTGCTCCCTCCTTACCCTATCAGCTCAGAATGTCCCTGTCAGCGTACAGCAAGGCTGGCCACGTCTGTTGCAGGGTGTTACCCGATTGTTCCAAACTCTCCCCGCGGCTTTGAAAAGTGAGTTTGCGTTCCGACCCATCCCACCCGCAATGACTAACAAATGCCCAGACCGCGAAGAAGCCAAGAAGGAAGACACCTTTGACTACTCCGCCGAATTTGAAGAAGAGGAAGACGAGGAGTGGGAACAAGAAGCCGACTGGAACAACGAGGCGGATGAGACTGAGGATGTTAAAGACGAGAGTGCAGCTTACCTTGACTTCCTTAACGAGGAGGTAAGATTAGCTTCTCTGATGTTCAAGTCGCAGGCTGACCAAAACCAGGCGCAAAAGTTCAGTTCGCTCGATGATGATGACGATGACGAGCTGGAAGAGGAAAGTCTCCTCGAGACACCGCTTGACAAGGTGGAGCCATACGGCATGTTCAAGCACGCATTGCTCCGTAAGTATTCCGCATCGAGTCACGCTAGAGCTTATGCTGATTGTACTCAGGTCTCCAACAGGAGCAGCCCGCGCTTTACGAGAACCTTACCAAGAACCTCAGCCCAGAGGAGCAACAAGTGGTTCAGGGTGCTGTTCACCAGGCCGATATTATCGCCCAGGTCCACGCCGAGGCTCAAGCAGCTGCTGCCAACGGCCAGCCAGGCTTACCGCAGCAGTAGAGTTGCTCCATCGATAGCATGGCCTTCGTCCTCCAGGAAATGGAAGATCGAGCATACGTCGCCCGAAACGCCATCGGACAGATCGCCCCAGATGTTGCTGGAGAAGCATGGCTCAAGGAAGTTCGCACAAGGCTGTCTCATCCATGTTGGAATGATGTACAAAAATACGGCAAACACTTACTTGGAGTTCCGGCAAACACCATTCGGCGCACATACAAGATCGAAAGGAGGAGGCACCACAAGCTATCTGTTGAAGGAGCTGTGAGGCAGTTCAAAGAAGGGGCAAACTAAACACCGTGGAGCCTACATCGAGGCCAGATTTTTCAATTTGCATGTTTTATCCCCAGTGTAGTCTGCAAACCTGTTCAGTTTCTTCTTCGGTCAGGTGGGCCTACGTAGTAGCTGGACCCCCTCTTTTAGCGAGCATTTTGGCGTTTTAATTCTTTCCCGGGAAGAAGTTTTGAATCCGGAGGTTTGTTCCGGTAGTTGGCTGATAGTCGAAGTGGTGCGGTGTGGGTGTAGTTATGGCGTTGGGTTTGGTTGGTACGAATGTTATGAAAAGAGGAGGACGATATCCACGAGAGGCACCATTGCTTTGGAATGATAATCATGTATGCGTGATGAGGGTTGTTGCAAAGGCCTAAAGGCCGCAGTAGATAGTTGTTTCCTCTTATAGGAGCACAGTATGCAAATCCGTTACCTTGATCTGAGACCATCACTTGAATGCAGCATCCCTTTCACGGGGGGAACTGAAGACCAGTCTATGAAATCTACAAGTCCTTACTGGCTCGATGGTATCGGTTTTGGTACGGTATCTGCGGTTTCATCCCCACCATGAGTAAGAAAGATCATATGCCAGAGGCGGAAATGCTGCTGCCTTGTAGGCTGCATCGGCATCCGGATATCTTCTTGGGGTGATGTGCAGCCGTGACGACAACACGTAATCGATGTTGAAGATGTATCCATTGTCCAGTTCTCGGTTGGTTTGATGTCTTCGGTCTTGGTAGGTAACAGCAACCACAGTACCATCTAAACCACAAGATTAATATCATGTGCTCTAGGGAGAGATGCTGCTGCTTTGGGGGATGGTTAAGTATTAAGTCTCGCCTTTTCGGCGATACTCCTTCGTTCATCATCCTCCTCTTACTCATCTGAAGCTTGTACACGATTACCCAAAGTAAGACTCGAAGTACCCAAGGTACCTACAAAGTCATTGCAATCGGATCATCACGAGACGAGCGCGCAAACAAGAAGACACCCGAAATCATTGCAATCGGGTCATCACGAGACGATCTGTACGTCAGATTGGCGAGTTGCTGTCGCCCTGTCGATCGCGAGAGGAAGTCGCGGCGCGCGCGCTATCGATAAGCCACGAACTACGCCTATGACGCTTGTTTGATTATCGCAACCCGAAACGTGGTAACAAGCATCGCGCCGGCAGCCTCACTCGCACAACACCTAGTGCTACCTCGAAACACTTCCTCATCCTTACGCGACTCTTGGATCTCGCGACTATCTCTCCGATCAACCCTTTGCCTTTCCCGCGACTACGCCTGGTTGGGAAGCGTGGTTTAGTGCGGCACACGATTGCGCGCGCAAGAAACTAGACATGTCGCGTCCGACAGTCAGCAAGGCGAGGACGGGGTATCCGATATTCGCTGCGACGTTTGCGAGTAACAGGCCTGGGGTTCTCGTTGTAGGAGGTAAGTTACTCTCATGCCGACATCGCCAACTAGACTGACTCGAATACAGGTGGTGGGGGTGTGAGTACTGACCCTATATCAAAACGCGATCGATACGCCTGCTGACCACTTCTCATATCAGGCTGGACGATCCGGTGTCAAAAACCAAATCACAGCATTCGACTTCACCTCACGAGCGCCGACCGTACAACCATTCGCGGAAATCGAAGCGAGCAAGGACGACTCGATAACGTGTTTGGACAACCTGTCTACAAAAGATGGCCTTGTTTTGTTCTCTGGAAACAACAGCAGTGAGGATGACCGGCTGAAGGGCAACAATGAACATCTGAGGGCATTCGAGCTGAAGTATCCGAACAGTGCTGAGAAAAGAGATGGAAACGTTGAGTACCTCAGCAAGACAACACTCTTCACCGCACCGCAATCGAGTTCCGCGAGAAAGGAAGCCTACCAACGTATCGTGAAACTCTCGAAACCACAACGATCGACCTCGAATACACCCAGCAGACGCATCGGAGCGATCGCATCAAGTCTTGGAGACGATAACGAGGTCGTTATCTTTTCCGCTACATCTACGAGACCTACGAATCAGGACGTCATAGGGCGAATCGGTTTACACAATGGCCAGGAAGCTAACGACATGGACTTTTGGACACAAGAAGAGGGGAAATATCAGCTAGCTTACGTCACCGATTCGGAAGTCTTCGTGCAGACTGTCAACTGGGATTTCGATTCAAGGAAGACCAAGGGAAAGAACGAGCACAGGAAGCTGTACACCATTCCACACGTCGAGAAGGGTGCGAGGAGTAAGCTACGATGTGTACGGTGGCTTTCGCCGAAACATCTGCTACTATTAAAGAACAAGCCTAGTAGAAGCGGCGTGGAGTTGCTCCTTCTTCATCTCTACGAAGAAGGTCCGGCAAGCGTTGTGCTACGGAAAGCAATGCCAAAGCATGTCAAGGCGGCTACAGATATGGACGTCAGCTTGCTCGATGCAGACAAGGATGGCGCCTATCAAATTGCTATTGCGATCGCAGCGATTGACATATCCTTGACGGTGTATACGATGGATTACCATGGATCTGCCAGAGATTCTCTGAGCTCGTTTCACGCATTCAATAGCTATGATAACGTAAGCGTAAAGACACCAGAAGAGCCCAACACGTGCTAACAAAAGCAGGTTCACGAAGTGCAAATGACAAAGGCTGTCTTCTCGCCATTCTACAAGCCCGAAGTACCAGCTGGTCGTCAAGCGCCACCCCAGTATCTGCGTCTGGCGAGTACGTCTTTGGGAAACACGATCAGCGTCGAAACATTCCAATTACAGGACATCGGGTCACGCTATGTTCTCCAGACGGCACGCTCGAGAAACATGTTCACAGCAGCGACCTATCTCGTCATCGCCATGGTCGTCGCAGTGGCCGCTCTCCTGATCCAGTCACTCATAGATCCAGAGGGCAACCTCACCAAAGGCATACTTCCCGCCAGTCTGCAGGATGCAGCAAGCCAGCACAAGACTTTTGGCGAAACACTGCGCGAGAAACGCCACAACGCCATCCTCAACAATGCGGACTCACCAGTGGTCAAGACATCACATCGGATCGCTGATCTACTACATCTCCACCTCCCTCACGTTCTCTCTGACACCAAGCCATTCGAGCCATCCGGTCAACAAAAGGCGCTCGTAATACATCATGACCCTGAATCTGACGGCACACTCAGTACAGAGGTTCACGCTGGAGATGAGGATGTCTTGAAGAAGCACGCCTCTGCGAGAAAGTGGGAAGAGCTCAGCCACGAAGAGAAGAGCCAATGGAAGGAGAAGTTGAGCGATGCGGGTATGTGGGCTGTGGGTGAGGGTGAGACTATCCTGAAGTCGATCTTCTTCGGACAGATCGGCGGAGTCATTGGCCATGTTGCAGAGGGTGTATTGGCTGGCTAAGACAAGTCGCGGTGAGGGGACGACTGCACAACGGCCATGGATGGCAGCTTGTGTATGGACTTCGTAGTGTGTGATACCTAATTTCTACTACCTGATGTTCTGGAACTATCTCAATGTGATACTGCGTGGTGAATGGATGTGTATCATGTTGAGCGGGAAGTGTCTCTAATACTTGGTTGCCATTGGACTATGGTGTGCACAAGACTGACACCGGCACTTTGCCCTTGCGAAGATAAGTGGAATTGATAGCATGTGGGGTGATTGATGCAGTCTTTTACCTTTGCTCGTGCGGTAGGCCTGGCCACACTCACCCGTTATCCTCACCGCGGTGCTAATCACGGGCTGGTGTTGCGGATCCCCGGTGTGCGCTTTGGGTTAGCTCCCGAGGCTCGCGTGAGGTCAATGCGCTAGTCCGCGTTCGTGACATACGGCTGCAGCGTCCAGTAACTTTGGCAACACCAATTCTCCCCACGCGCCCCTCTACAGCACTCTTTTCGCTCCTTTTCATGGATGGAGTGAGACCACAAACTCTTGCTGCGAAAGGCTTCCGTTGAAGCAGTCAAGATGTCGCAGCAGGGTCCCCTTTCGGCCAACCTGGACCGCATAGTCCACGACCTACGGTCAAAGTGAGCTCCATACAGTACAACCATTGCGACAGGCAGCTGACAAACCAAGAAATGACGAGACGCGACAGCGAGCAGCAACTGCGCTGCGACAGCAGGTCGAATCGGCGCATCGAGGTGAGAGACAACGCGAAGAACCCCGCCCAAGCTATGGGAAACTGACGTTGTGCAGAACTCGCGCCCAACGTCTTCACCACATTCAACAATGAAGTCTACACCAAGATCTCGGGCCTCATCGTCACCGGCACCGACTCGAACGAACGCATCGGCGGTATCCACGCGCTCAACGCCCTGATCGACTTCCGCGGCGACGATGCGGGCCAGAAGACGACGCGGTTCGCCTCCTACCTTCGGGCGGTAATGCGGGGTCAGGACATCACAGCCATGGTGGTCGCGGCCAAGGCCCTGGGACGACTCGCGAAGCCCGGCGGTACACTCACGGCGGAGCTAGTCGAAGCAGAAGTCAAGGGCGCATTGGAGTGGCTGCAGCTGGAGCGCCTGGAGAATAGACGCTTCGCCGCTGTCCTCATCCTGCGCGAACTGGCGAAGAACTCGCCTACGCTCATGTACCAATGGATTGCGCAAATCTTCGAGGTCATCTGGGTCGCCCTACGAGATCCAAAGGTCCTCATCCGGGAGTCCGCCGCCGAGGCGATCAGCGCCTGCTTCGAGATCATATCCCCCCGCGACTCGCAGATGCGCCAGCTCTGGTTCGGAAAGGTGTACGACGAGATCCTACGCGGCTTTACCATCAACACGAACGAAGCGATTCACGGTTCCCTCCTCACCATGAAGGAGCTCCTCGACAAGAGCGCCATGTTCATGAACGACCAGAAGTACAAGGAGACGGTTGAGCATGTACTGAAGTACCGGGAGCACCGCGATGCGCTCGTACGGAGGGAGGTGGTGCTCATCATACCCATCCTCGCTGGTTATTCGCCAACCGAGTTTGCGACCAAGTACCTCCACCAGTGCATGCTACATCTCCAGGGTCTCATTA